ACAATACGCTGCTCCGTAGAGGCGTGCTCGGCAAACACTTACAGAGCGTAGTCTAGGTTACTTACCTTATTTTTATGTCTGCATGTGGCCATCGTAACTAGCTATCATGTTATAGCGGAAAGAGGCTTTGCTAAAGTATGGCACCTAATTCTTGCTAGATTGCTGACTCCTCGTAAAACACACCCTAAGAGTAGTTGACGAACATATTAAAGCCATCTTAAAGTTAGCCTTGCCTGGCCTTCTATCGTTCGTCCGAATACAATGCTAGCGCACTATGTGACCGCATAAGCCAATGTTAGCTATTATTGCATTTAGAAGGGGTTTTGCTCTCTTTTAGGTGGGGTAACTACCAAGAGGGGGTGTCAGTAAGCCAGGAGGGGTAAGCCATCTTCTAGTGTAGAAGGTCTCTAGCTCTTAGCAGTAAGCGGCAATATAGTAAAGAGGCGATTAGATTATAGATGTGTACTGTAACGTGTCGATAACACCGCATCTAGCTGTATAGCTAGAAGCTTAACGGACGGTTAAACCCTAATGCCGTCCACGCCCCGTTAGTTTACCGCTTACGGGCTATAATAGATAAACACGCCTATAAAAAAAAAAAAAAGGCTGTTAGCATCGGCTTCACCTTCCCTAAATCACTTTAAATAGCTACGCCGAAGACCTGCCTCACACTATAAGAGCTAGCCACTCCATTCTGATAAAATCACTCCAATTTAGGCAATGTCATCACCTCCTGTAAAGTCTGGGTCCTGTTTATGCTGCCCGTATCCTGGGAGCCTCTCCTAGCCTCGCTAAGAAGCTAGGCATGCGCAGGATAGTGGCAACATGGGCGACGCCGGTGTGGGAGCAAGCCCTGAAGAAAACCTACTGCGAATATAAGATCAGCTGTTTGATTCTGAAAGCCGCTAACACACCGTGGCGAATAACTGGGACTCCGCCACCATGAATGCTCCGCTTAAGACAGCTGAGGCGGTGCCTGAAGAACACTACAGGATCTAGGCGCTAGCGTAGGGAGCCTTAGGCTTTCCCCTCATAGACTGTCCCCTAAAGCGAAACAGAGCTGCATTTAAGGGTGCGTCCCTAAAACCCTGTCCTAAAACTAGTTCACAAACAACGACTTGTAGCGCGGCCTTCCGGAAGGCACTCACTTAGGTTATCTGGAGGCACGTTAGTAGCTTAAGGGTTAATATAGAATGCATAGTTGGAGGTGACTAGGGCGATGTAGGTGAAAGGTATAAGATTAAAATGGTATTTTAGTGTTGATCTTGGGTAATTGAGTGTAAAGAAAATAATATTACGTGCGTCTTTCTGGTTTTCTATAGTTGCCGTCTGGCTTATGCACGTTCTTCGCTGCATATACTTCGCTCACCGGCCGATGAAGCCCTGACAGCTTTCTGTGCCGTAGAGGCAAGGCTGTAGTCGGCCTCGGGAAACATGTCGAAATTATAGTTTAGAGCGATTTCTGCGCCAGCTTTCACGTGCCTCTTAGCGAAGACAGACAAGCATGGCGCCCCCGAGACCACTCATGACATAGTTGTGGCACTCGCTTACGGTGATTACCTCGCCTTTATATCATATTACGCCACGAAACGCTCTCGACTATTCGCTTCGTTGACGAAGAGCATAAATCCTCCGTCCTCTGCTTAAAGCACCTCACACCGACTCGCATCTTTGGTGACCAGACGGTTAGTGCAAAGCGATCTGACTTAGTAACTTAAGTCGCAGTTAGCACATCGCACGATTTTAGCACGACTGAGCGTAGCCGTCGTCTTCGTCACAGCTGTAGTAAGGCTTCTCTAGAAAACGACATTAGTCGCGCCAACTCTTATCAGGCTAGAGTGGCTTTCGTGCTACACGAAACTTCTGTGAAATGCCGTTAGCTTTACACTGTTTTCGTCATAGCGTGCTTTTGCTAGACTGAAGTTGAATGCCGCTTTCTTTAGTAGCCCTCTATACCATACTCTGTGCAATAGATCAGATTAATGAGACTATCCGGCAGTTCTTATTAACGCTTACGCCGAGCGCTGTGATTAAAGCCTAACCTATTATGGCATCGTCCGCGAGCGCACGTTCCGTTACGAGCTTCGCCATAATCTAGGATGATTAGGCTTGCATATAAGCCTGTTACTATGGCTGACGCGTGCATTTGTTTAAGGTGAAAGCTCTGAGGCCTCGTAAAAGGCAGGGGAGAGGTCCTTATCTATATACTTAGATTAATCGTTATATCCGCAATAACCATTCTTCTAGTTCCTTAGGCTCTGTGGTATTGGGTGTGCTGCCTCGTGTGCTGCCTCGTTTAAGCCTGGCAATTAGACGGATACATGAGCCTTAAACGCCTTGTGCCGTGTAGTAACCCCCTTATCTTCGCTTATTGAATGTCCACGTATATTGAAAGGCAATGCCTGGTTTGCACTCGCGCCGTTGTCCAAGGCACTCGTCTGGACCTACGAAGGAAGCTGCGTCTACTTAAAAAGGAGAGAAGTATAACTGCGGGCTGTATATGCCAGTCACTTTCTGCAATAGGGCAGAGGCTATTACCGCATTCGTCTACGCAGAATTGCCGCAAGTAAGATAGTGAGTAGCCTCCTGAAGGGCAAACGCTCTTAATTACCATAAGTATACTAAAGCTTACACTATATATGTAGACGGCATATCTATAGTTTATAAGATGCAAAAAAAACCTAGATAGCCGTGGCGAGAATGATAGCAAGCAAGCTCATCCCGGTGCCGGAGGCGGTGCTGATTAGCGGCGCGGTTGGCACTGGTGGCTTGGATGAAGTCCAGGCCGTTAAAGCCGAGGGAGGAAATGCAGTGACTAGGGAACTATTTGCCAGCCACATTAGCGTCCTAGATGATGCGTATACACTTGATGTGGTACTGAAGATGGGATTTACGGCGGATATGACAGTGGTTAGGTTTATAGATATACTA